ACATCTTTCGACGTTACAACGTCGTCCTTGTAAATAAAAGAGTCTAAGTAAATTCATTCATATACCTGGGAGCTGTTTTTTGCTGAAGTTTTTAAATTCCACGTCTTGGAAGTCTGATAAAAAATGGAAAAAAAAGTAATATATCATATTCTAAAAAACAAAGTATTTTAAGTTAAAAATGTTTTATATATCATAAAATATAACTACTAGATACATATACATTCCTTTTGATTTTACTAAAAGCAAAAAAAAACCAAGATTATTAAATGAAAATAAGACATTTACTAAAATTTCAAATGTTATGTAGTGTATGTCATCGATTTTTTACACAAAGATTTTATTTGGTGCTTAGAAAACTAACCTTCAAATTACTGAGTTATTTTTATGCCATTAACTACCAGTGGGCTCCACATATTGAGAAACATCGTTATTTGCTTGTTACAAGACAGTGTAAAGAACTCTTGGTAAAATACATACCAGTTTACGCCACCACTTAATGGGATTAGTTGAAATATTGAAGATTTGTTTTGTGTCTCATACGTTATTAAGAACCCTGAATTCAACAGCGTCATTGACACACACACACACACAAATTCATACATAAACAGTTTACATAAAAGGGTATGTAAAAAGCTGATGATTCATAGGGACTACAATGGGAATTGAAGGGTTAAAACTTTAAAGCAACTAAAATACATATTGTCCCATATTTTTTTTAACAGCTGATACTTGATTATTGAAAATTATATAATACACTAATTTCTAAATTTCAAGTTCAGTAGAAAGTATTGAATGCATACTATTTTGTTTGCAAATGGAAAATAAAAAAATTTCAAGACATACATTTGCATTCTCCTTTTTTAGAACTTCTGAAGAGGAAGACACCAAATATCTAGGAGTATCGTGGTCTACATGGCCAACTCTAAACACTGGCTTGTGTTTATGCATTTCCATCTTTTTTTTCAACTCCCGTTCAGCCTTCCATTTCTTCAGCATTTCACGTCTATTCGTGGCTTTGTTCGTTTCTTGACCCGCAGGTTCTGTGTATGAAAGAAACCATTTTTTAATTTAGCATTTTCTATTTGTTTCCTAATTATAAGGTAGAAATTTTTCATTTAATTTTATATTTTAATAACTTTGTTGTCAATTACATGTAGCTTCTAATATTTTGCGATGCAAGGTGTTACTGTTAGTGAAAATTGATTCGGGTAAAAATAATTATTATTTTTTCATGTCCAAAAACTATTCCATTAAGTTCTTTTTGTAAGATATTTGACAGTCCCAGTTCCTTCAGTTAAAAAGTATATTTTCACACATGTCTAACACGAACAAGAATTTACATAAAAGCATAATCACACAAACTGTAACTTTTTGTGATTTTTTTACCTTATGTGTTTTTGATTATTAACATAACTTTCTCCAGTAAATTTTGAATTTTTTTAACCTTAAGCTGTTAATGATGTAATACTAATATTACTAGTAGGTGTAACAGTGATTAATTAGAATTCTAGTGATATTATTAGTATTACTAGTCTTAGTAATAAAAGTAATATACTTATTTAGTTATTACTACAACATGCAAGCTGTAGTATAATAAAAAGTTGTAATACTACTAGTGCTACTATTTACGACACCAAATCTACATATTGATGTTTTTAATAACTTTTATATTACCACTGTTGGATTGGTTCTTTGGCCCATCACTCTTTTTCGGTTTGTGAAATTCAGCAAGTGGCTCCACTTCAAAACTTGTAGTACTGTTACTACTATTGATATTCCTTCGTCGTGATAACTGTTCATGCCGAATATCTTTCCTGTCAAGGGTTCGGCGATGAGCCCGTAGAACTCGGCTATCAATATCACTGCTAAAATTTATGGATCGTTTTTTATACAAAGACAACATAGTGATATAATTTTAAAATGTGAAATAAAAACTTTTCCCAAAAGGTTTACAACACGATTTGTCTGTCAAAATGCCAGGTTACAGAAAAGAAAATAGAATTTGAATATAAATTCATGTCATACAAGAGACCTACTTTGTTAACCACGGGACAATATTTTGAACGAACTAACCTGAACATACTGCTCTCTGCTGATTGGTCCAAACGTTAAATACATCTGTGAAACAAATGAAAATATTTTGTTATAAAAATGCTTGCTATAAATTATATTTCTGTTTTTTTATATATACTTATGTGTTGTTTAACAAATTATATTTTTATTTTGTTGTACTTCTACGTATATTCCTATTTTTCTTATTCGATGACGAGGAACCCACTTTGAGACTAATAATGCCTGGAGACGGCTTGAATGGGTAATGAAGAAAAACTTTAATATAACAGCAAATGTACAACGTTTCGACAAGGTTTTGTCATCATTTTTCTTCTTTTTTCTTATGCTTTACCACCTAGTGGACTTCTCACAAAGAAAAATTGGATTGGATAGCACTCTAATATACGTCTTAATGTTATATCTATAATTCCTTTCTTTTGCTAATAGGTTTCTTGAATCTGCACCATGTAATCGCATGATGTTAACTAACGACTTACTTAGACATGCATGCTTTATTGTTTTCAGAATAAGCCCCTCCCCTAAAAAAACCCTGGAGACGCGCCTGAATATCAGTGTTAACATACATTTCACACCTTGCATACCCACTATACAGAAAAGTTAAAATCTAAATCCACGCTCTATTTGTTTAGGAAATCGTTAAGCCTACAGTATCACATCCTATAATACAATCATCCTATTAGATAAAAGTTGTAAGCTTATGTCCTTTCTTTCTACTGTCTTAAACATACAGCACAAAAAATTAGAAACCTTTATCTATTAACTCCCCGAATAATATTGTAAACTTCAATAAGATGACCTCTTACTCTTCGTTTCTCCAGACCAGACCAGGCCTAATGCTGTGTATATAGAGATACAATGGTGGAAAAAAATATTGCATTACTCAATTTTTCACACTTTTCTTCTGAATCATTGTCTATTTTGAGACCCTAATGCATGTATATGCAAATGTGTATTGCACCAGCCGTTTTTTGGCTTTAAATGAATGTTCTTCCTGTGAGTCAATTTAGAAGCCTGTCTACTACAAAGTACATGTGATGCTACCATGGCCAAAGATTGCAAGTTAACTCCACGGAAGAAGCAGGCATTTTTTTGATTTTTTGAATAAAGAAAGGCACGTTGCTAGAATAATTAAATTTAACTAGTCTATTGTGAGCCGCTGGGTGCAAATACATATGGAGACTGGCTGTGTGGAGCGACAGAAGGGAAAAGATGGGGCAAAACTTCTTCGGCATTTTACAACCGCGTTTTGAAACGCATGATCCTACAGAATCGTTGACAAATCTCAAAAGAGCATGGCAGGAAACTCCAGGGGTCACTGTTACCATGCGCACCGTCCGGTCTGCCTGTTTTCAGCCAGTCTCATAGTAAGACGGCCAAGAAAGAAACCCCTCCTCAACAACCAGATGAGGAAGTCAAGACTCAACTAGTCCAAAAAACAAAACAAACAAACAACATACTGACTAGACTGAAGCAACGTGAGCTTCTCAGATGAATCAAAGTTCAACCTGCAAGAGACTGTTGGCAAACAGACGTCAATGTGGAGAAGAGTTTCATCCAGCATATTTGAATTGGATGATACACTACTTTCTCATTTAAATAAGCTTCTGATCATCAATCAAAAATCTAGATACGAGAGAGGGACACAGTTCAATACTTCCCAGACTGAAACAAATATAGCCTCTCCCAGCTTCCAACTATGATAACTCTGGTGGTCAGTAAGTTACATTACTTTATTTTCTCTAATGGTGAAAAATATATACTTTTATCACTTTTATTTTCTAAGCTGTTCAACACGAACATATTATTATTATTTCCGCCTCCTATTCCAATTACCATATATTAGGTTTCCCAGAAATCACGTCTATCATGTTTCACACTGCCCCTTTTCCTCCTGTCTCTTTCAGAAAATAATTGATCAATAGATGGCAGCAGCAGGTCACCAACTATATATAAAAATAGAAAATTCCAGGTACTACGAAGAAATGATTACATCAGAAATACACTTTTATTGCTTTAACCTATTTTTATTTGAACCATTTCTGTTACTCGTAAGCAAAAATTGCACAATCGCAAGTCACCATGAGAACTTACTATAAAGACATCAACAGAAAAAAAAAAACTAATTAATTAGTGATTAGACTTGGTGATCGTATATGTTACTACTAGCCATGTCGGTTTCATAAGAAAACGACATATAACAATTTTGTTTGGGAAAACGAGTAAGATTCGCCAGAGAAGCTAGGCTTAGTAGAAATACTTAAAAACTAGAATAGTTAGAAAAATGGGATAACTCTACATACAGGGCCGAAATATTGGGTACTGCCGAAAAATGGGATAACTCTACATACAGGGCCGAAATTTTGTGTACTGCCGGAAAATGGGATAACTCTACATACAGGGCCGAAATTTTGGGTACTGCCGAAAATTGTGATATCTCTACATACAGGGCCGAGATCCTGGGTTCTGCCGAAAAATGTGATAACTCTACATACAGGGCCGAAATTTTGGGTACTGCCGGAAAATGTGATAACTCTACATACAGGGCCGAAATTTTGGGTGCTGTCACAGCTTTTCCAAATGCTGGAATGACAGCGGGTTCATATCTGTTTTAGGTTACCAGAGAGATGCCCTCAGAAAATGGTAAAATTATCGTTCTTCTTCTTGAAGATGAGAAACAAATAGTAAACAGAGGAAGATTGGTATGAAATAAGATTCCACTGGTACATAATAATCTGAACTACGGTTTAACAACTGTAATACACATACTAATATTATATATATATATATAATATATAATTTTAATGGCGAGTTGCTTTCCTAGTCCGCTAGGGTAAAGCTGATGACTTCAGGGCCTAGGGGCGCACAGAAGTTTTGAAATGAAGGAAGGTCATAGTGGGATTCGAACACCAGCTGTTTACTCATCTGTTTTCTGCTTACTGCGAGTATGGAAATCAGATATTTTGAGTTATAAGCCCCCAAACTTACCGCTGAGCCACCGGGGAGGGGCATTAATTAATTAAAAAAAAATCTTATATTAAGATGTATTATATATATATATGTTATAGAGTAAGAATGTGTTTGGGCTATCTGTGCTCTGCCCACCACGGGTATCGAAACCCGGATTCTAGCGTACTAAGTCCGGAGATATGCCGCTGTGCCACTAGGGTGGTGGTGGGGGGGGGGGAGAGTAAGAGAAATAAGCATTAAAGGAGTAGTCATTTCTTTTGTCTTGTTCTTTTTCACTATCATAGTCAGAATGTTTAGATTAACTGACGCAGTGTGTTTAGGTTCAAATCAGTATGAAAACGATACACATTTATTTTCGAAAAAGTTTTCACTAAATAAACAGCAAATGTAACAACAATTTGAGCATTAACATTTGTTAAACACAGAAAATGTATTGCTGTTTGCGTGTTGTTCTTGTTTTCTTAGTGTAAAGCCACACAATAGGCTATCCGCATTTTATTCCACCGCGGGAAATAGACCTCCGGGTTTTCGTGTTGTTCTTGTTTTCTTAGTGTAAAGCCACACAATAGGCTATCCGCATTTTATTCCACCGCGGGAAATAGACCTCCGGGTTTTCGTGTTGTTCTTGTTTTCTTAGTGTAAAGCCACACAATAGGCTATCCGCATTTTATTCCACCGCGGGAAATAGAACTCCGGGTTTTCGTGTTGTTCTTGTTTTCTTAGTGTAAAGCCACACAATAGGCTATCCGCATTTTATTCCACCGCGAGAAAT